TACTCATCTGTCTCCCTTCTGGGGCGTTATGAAGATTAACTAATTAATATTTTGTATGTACACATATACAAGTGATAAGTTTTATTAGATTTCTCAGTTAAATACATCCACATTTTAAGAGATTAGGAAAAGAAAAATCAATAAAAATATTAATAGAAATATTATTTAATTCAGTTACATTTAACTTAATAACTTTTAGGTTTTACTGAAGATGGTGGAAGAAACTCCACCACAACAAAATATTTTTGGCTTTCAGTCACAACGGACATGACATCCTCATACACATTGTGCTGTCCATGCCAATTTAAAAAGATATATATTTATACAGGAGAGCTCAGTTCAGATGCATCATTTAGTTTCCAGTACCAATTTACAGTGCTCTTGACAGAGGTGAAAAGAGATCAAATGATTTGCACAAGGTCATAAAAAGAGTTAGTGGCTCAGCCAAGTCTTAGAATCACCATCCTCTTGATTCATACTCCATTGCCCGTACCATTAGATCATCAAGCATCCCTAACACACTACTGTCATACTACCTGGAGCACGCTGGGGGGCAAAAGCAAAATTGTACACTTTTGTTTTTTCCCCCCCATATAGTCTGGCCTAAACACACCAAACTGCATTAATATTTATTTTTACATGGTAAACCATTATGAAAAACAAAAACATGCAAGCCTGGCCTTTGAGTTTTTTTTATGCTGCTGAAATCCCTCAGTTACTCTCTCTGGGTGAGATCTGTAGTATAATGATGGGGCTTTTAACAGATGCCTGCCAGTTCTGTATAAAAAAGTTACATACTACTCTCCAGGACCAACACTCTAGTGCTTTTATAAGTACAATTTGCACTTGAGGGCTCTCTAAAATGATGGATCTACAAACCGCTATTAAAATATCCACTATATCTGAGAGAAACTTTTGAACTTTGCTGACAGTATTCCCAAAGAAAAGCTAATTCGAAACATAATACTGCTAGGCTGGCCAAGTCCAAACATTCTACAACCTTAAGTCACTTATTATAAGCATCTTTTGTTTAGCCCTGTTGTAACTAGTAATAAAAATCACTGGGTCCACTTGTTTCAGCCAAGCCCCCTCTGGGTCAGTTTTTATGTACCCAGGTTCAGATTTTTTTGTATGAAATGAACTAGAATGTCAGTCTTGAAGCACATATTATGCAACCGTCTATATAGAACTGGCTTATTTCAGAGATTCCTCTTTGAGGCTTCCCTAGAAAAAGACTTCTCCTCAGCAAAATGTCTTTTATAACAGCTGCAATCAGATCCACCCAGAGCACTTTGGGTTGTCTAGTACCTGCACTAGCCCCTTCTCCAATTCTCAGGCATATGGGCATATAAATCCAATCACATGGGTTTTACTAGGTTCAGATCCTCTGTAAAGTTCAGAGAATCTTTAGCTCTGATATACTCATTTTAATTTTCAGCAATTTAAAAATGTAAAATTGAGAGCCCCGGAAGAGAAAGTTCTAACCTGATCTACAAAACTGACATAGTTTAGGAAAGGCATGCTTTTCAATCCTACCTTAGAGTAAGACTCATCCTAGTTTGTTAAACATCATCTGTGGGAAAAGGAGGTAGTTTTCACTCTCCACGCCCAATCAATCATGGACCTCTCTCTACCGAGACTTCTAAGAATGATGTCATGCGATTCACAGAGTCACAGAAATTTAGGGCTGGAAGGGACCTCATGAGATCATCGGATCCAGTCCCCTGATGGTCATTTGTGCGCTGCAGAATGTTCAAAACTAAACAGCAATTTGGAACAAGACTAGTTCAATGTAGATGTATCCCAAAACTCAATAACCAAAACTAAGCTGAGGGGGTTTACCATCAAAAAACCCTGTAATTTGACCTCCAAGTGACAATCGCACTGAAATTTAACTGTGAATAATGAATGCAGACAGCCAATCTAACAGAACTAACAACACATTTCAGGCAAATGAGTCATGTCTTATCAAACTGGTCTTTCCAACTTTGATGATAGACATTGTATTTATTGCTGTTTGGTTTTAACAAATATTTTGTTACCAAGTTTATGATGCTAAATGTCATTAGGACTTAACCATGATAATGGGGCAGGGAAGACAGGGGGCAATGAAAGGGGGGGGCAGCTCAGTGCAGGCCCTTCTCCCCAGCCCCTCCCCACTAGCTAGCTCCCCCACCACAAGATTCCACCCCCCCAGAGCTTGCTGGCTGGGGAGCTGCAGAGGGGGAGGCGGGGGGGGCAGGCCAGGTCCATGCAGCAGGATGGCTCCCTGTCGCCAACCCCCTCACCCCAGCCTCTTGACAGCTGCAGCCAGGAGCTGTAGTCCAGGGCTGCCCAGCCTGGCTTTTCACCAGGCCAGGAACTGGGTCATGGAGGAGGGGGCAGGGGGGAATGGATGACCCCTGCATATGGACCTGGACTGGCCCCACCCTGAGACTCCAGCCAGCAAACTGTATGTAGGGGGGGGTGCCCTCTCATGACAGGGGGAGTCTTTTCCTCACCTGGCCCCAGTTCCAAGTGTGGTGAAAAGCTGGGCTGAGCAGCCCCGTGCTGCGGCTTCTGGCTGCTGTTGTCAGGAGGCTTGGGTAGGTGGGTGAGGAAAGGGAGCACCCCCACCACAGTTTTTTGGCTGGTGTCTTGGGTGGTGGGGGTGGATCTGTACTGTAAGGGGGCTCCTTCCTCCCCCTGCTTGCCCCAGTTTTTGGCAAGGATGATAAGCTGGGCTGGATCGGGCAGTCCTCCGCTGCAACTCTTGGCTGTAGCTGTCGAGTGGCTGCGATGGGAGTTCCCTGCCATGTGGACACAGCCCAGATCTCCCCCCCCACCGAGATGCCAGCCAGCAAGCTGTGAGGTGGCCTTTGCGGTGGGGGGCTCCTTTCCCCGCCCCCGTCCCCTAAGCCTCCTGACAATGGCAGCTAGAAACTCCAGCACAGGGCTGACTGGCCTGGCTTTTTGCCATGCCAGGAACTGGGCCGGGGGGGGGGGGGGGGGGGGGGAGGAGAAATGGAGCCTCTCTGTTTCCAGTGCGATAAAAGTGGCACAGCCTGGCTGCAGCTGGGAGATGCCCTCCAAGCTTGTGGGCACAGGGGTTGGTGGGGTCTGAGCTGGGTCCACATGGCAGAGAGGCTCCATTTCCTCCCTCTCCCCTGAAGTGCTCTGAAGCAGATGAGCACTAGCTGAGGCTAGCAAGCCACCCAGTGAGGGGCCCCTGCCATGACAGCAAAATTACATGCTGAAGTACGATGGATATGGTACAGATGTTCAAAAAAAGTGCTCTAACCTCAAGTGGTTTAATCAAATACCACATCCATCGAGGGTTAACTTAAAAATGGCAGATCCTGCTCTAAAACTCTTTAAATGCCATGAACGTCTGTCCTGTTATGACTTTAAAGCACTTAACACACATTAAGTATAACATCTGTACCTAGCTTTAGTGTTCTAGTTGCACTATAATGTGTTCCAAGAGGATAGTTACATTTACTTTGAGAAGTATAGCTCTGAGTTTTTCAACTTTTGTGCAATTATAAACTTATGCTAATGTTGCAGGTCATAAAATCTTTGTTTTTAATATATATTGTTAATAAAACCTTTCAGCAATAAAAAAACCCCCAAATTTTCCAGGTTTAACCTAAGAAATTATCTGTTCCTTGGACTAATGATCTGTCTTCCTTATTGCTCCTTGCTTTAATTTGGCAATTGTTGTGTAGAAAATGCTTTCAGAGACTTTAAGTCTACAGACCTTGTTGTAAACACTTGTGTAATCTGTATGCTGCTGGGATTGCCAGTGGTAATTTGTCAGTGTTTATTTGCAGCAGGTTATAACTAAGCCCTGTCAGGAGTAAATCATCTTTTCTATACAACTGCTTGTTGTTTTAGTTGCAAAAGCTGTTAATTTTTTTTTCTAAGTTAACATTAACAGTCACATTTAGAAAGTTAGAAGTTTCCAGGAAAACATTTTAAAAGACTATACAAATGCAGTTTAAGAACTACTTAAGTTATTACTGAACAAATATAACGAATGGTACCTGGGGGTACATCTGCTTTGCAATCAGGAGGTGAGATCAAAACACTTGTGGTATGCATCAAGGAGGTTCAATCTTGTTGATCTGTTTACTACATCTCCAGAGAGAGAAACTAGAACCCAGAGTGCCCATGAAGGCCGAGCTCTTGGGAAGCACACATAAGTGACTGAGGAAGCTTGAGAGTTGTCCTGGTTTCTGGACAACTGGACTGCAATCTCACATCTCACAGCATGGATCAGACAGGGAGTCTACATACTGGAAGCTGACATTGGAGGCAAAGATAAAGCATGCAATTTGCTCTTGTCCAGATTCTACTCTCTAAAAAGCACACAGGATCCAAAAGTTGCGTTTGGTTACAACCAGGGATCCTGGTTTCCATTGATAAAAAAAACCAAAACAACACACCCAACCAGTTTTGGGGTTAAAAAAGTAACCCAAAATCCACATTCTTCTGTGATGAAAATGAAATGCTACTAATACATAGATATATATATGGCGTTTCATTTTGATCATAGAAAAATGTGGATTTGGGAATTTTTTTTTAAGCTAAAGATTGGGGATTTTTTTAAATCAGAGAAAACCAGGAACCCTCGTTATAATAGTTTAGTGATAATACACTAGCAGGACTCAGCCAGAAGTAGAAAGTTGTTATACCTCTATGTTTGAGATGGGAATGAAACAGATTATTCTAAATGAATGCATATATTCATTCCTACAGTGGCATTATAATAATTTCTCTATTGTTTTCTATTCCATTCTTGACACATTCTTAATGTTTTGTTTGTTAACCTTATGTTAAGACGATAACATTAGAAGTAAGTGTCAATGTTATACAAACAGAGTAATATATTCCTTTTTCTGAACTCTTGGGATAGCTGCCTATTACACTCTTAACCTTATTGCTGCTACTGCTGCTCAATAAATCCCTCTTCTTTCTACCTGTGGCTCTGAAATGGCCACTTTCTGTCACATTTTTACCTTGTATGAGTAAGATCTTTACTGAGAGTCCTCAGATTCTTTTCTAGTTGCTTGAATTGAGCAGGTTTCTTCAGACTTTCCTGTGGAGCAGACTGGAGATAATGAAAAGGAAAAGAAATTATGCTAGTGAAAATATTTCATTACGACTGGGACAGAAGTGGCATCCAATGTTGAGGATGCATGCTAGTTTCCATTCTAACCTTCTGCTTTTAATCACTAATACTTTTTGAAATCCTTACCTGATATCTGACAGGCTACATTTCTGTCTGTCATATTCTTAAAGCGTACATAAAAATATATGTTTTCCCCATTACAAGGCAAAAAAAAAGTTCTCACAACATTTTTGACTAACTCTACAGTTAAAAAGTTATAGCTCAGAGGCGGGCAAAACACAGCCCGTGGTCCAGATCCAGCCTGCCAGACAATTCCATCTGGCCTGCGGGGCCCCTCTGTAAACCCTGGCCATGGGGTGCCCCTCTGCAAGCCAGTGACTCTGTACAGGACATACAGCTCTGGTTGCTAAACAACCAACCCTCACCCCAGCCTTGCCTGACCCACCCCAGCCCTGAGCTAAGGGGTGTTAGAGACAGCCCATGGCTGTTCCCAGCCTCCCTGCCAGCGAGCATGGACATTCAGGTAAGTGCCCCATCAGGCCAGGGCCAGGGCCAGGGCCAGAGCCAGGGCCTCCCACTGGGGAAAAGGGGGTGGGAGTGTGTGGAACCATGTACTATGGGGCTAAGTTGGGCTGGCCCCCCATGCTGCAAGAATGCAGGAGCTGCATGCTATGGGGCTGGGTTGGGCTGGTCATGCTGCCACCACGTGAAACTGGGGACTGGGATGGGAGTGCAGCAACTGTGAGTTATGCCACCACATGCAGCTCCAGGGATTCGCACACTCCATGCACTCTGAGGACCTCCTTGCGGCCCACATACACACACCCACATACCCCACCCTCACCATAACCTCAAGCACATCCCCACCCCCCCCCACAGCCCCCCCCACCCTCATCCCCTACACACCCACAGACCCCCATATCCCCCCCACACACTCCCACCCCCCACCATACAAACACCCACCCTAACCCTCCCTCCCACACCCCACTGACCACACCCATACCCCCCCACACACACTTACCCACTTCCCAACATCCCCCACAAACACCCCCTTACCCCCGCCACACAATATACAAGAGTAAGACTGTATTTTGAGCTATTATGCAATCACTGCTAACACCTCTAACAAACGCACATAAATCCTTGCAGCCTGTAACAGGGGGGTTCTTCTCAGTGCTGATTCACCTTTGGCCCACCCACCTGTTTCTGGGCCAACTGCCTGCCTTCTCTCCTGCCATGCCTTGTTGTTAATTGGTTAATGATCTTAATTAGGTGGGAGGCTGCCCATTTCTTGCCCTGAGTCAGGGGGCACTATCTGCGGCTCTGTACCTCCCCTACACTGCAGCCCATGCCTCGCAGATGGCATCTGTTGATGTTAATCTCACCAGCCCCACACTGGGCCCCAGACTTCTCTAATCAGGACCCCTCTGAGATCCCTCCATTCTGGCGGCCTACCCTGCCTTCATTCAGGCTATCTAGCTCCCTGAAACAATTTTCTCCTCTCAGGTGGCATCCCCCTGGGACCTTTGGCCATACAGGCCCTGGCCTCACCTCCAAGGCCAGTCAGAAATCCCAGGCCCTCTTAGCTTCCAGGCATCCCTCGCAGTGGGTCCCTGGCCCTTTTGACCATTCTGGTCCTGGCCCCAGCATTGACCAGCCAAGGGTACTCTCTCTATCAGGTCTGAGTCTCTAGCCCCACTCTCTCCTCTGGGGTCTGCTCTCTGGGCCCTAGTAGCAGGTGACCCACCCAGTTGTGGGAGCTGGGGTTAAGGCACCCTGATCCACTTTTCACTGGGGTGGTAACTGGCTTGGCATTTCCTGGGGGCTCCCACACCACTGAGAGCCCCACCAGGCCACCCACTCCTGGCAGGGTACAGTTTTAGGTCATGCCCAGGACTAGGAGTCTCCAAGCCATCCCCTACAGCTCCTCCCTTACCTCCAAGACAATACCAGCAGCCTTGCAGCTAGGTTATGTTGCTGCTTGGCCTGCCAGCCTGATGCTATTTATATAGGCAGCCAGGGATCTAAAATGGCTGCCACAATCAAGCACCTGCTGGCTGCTTGGGTCTGATCTTTAAGTGGCAGGCACCAACAGTGCCCTGCCACACAGCCCTTGACAGTTCACCAAAACTCGTTAAGTGGCTTTCCAGTTGAAATAATTGCCAACCTCTGATATAGAAGATAAAAAGTTCATACGTGTCATGGAACTAACTCTCACTTAAAAGTAGTATCTTTGAGCGTTCCAGAGAAAATCTATTTTTATTTCACTGTTATCATCCTTTTAAAACTGCATGCTATGCACATGCACATGCATTACTTTTTCCATATTTTTTGTTAATCTTGTAATTCATGTAATGAAAGCAGGGCTAACTGTGCATGAATGCATGAGTAAATTTGTTGTTCACTGCAACGTATAATGTGGGTGTCCCTGGACAGAGACAAACGGTATGTCTACATAGTACAATGTAGTGCCTTGCAGATACAGCTTCTTGTACACAAGCTGGCTCAGATCTCTGCATCGCACTACATTGTGTTATGCAGAAATACCCAAAGTATACATGGGAATTGGCTGCAGACCTATGCATCTCCTAAAGTCCTGCAGAGGTGCACAGGAGAGAGATTATTCTAGGGTTGATTGCCTAAAATCCATAGGAGCAAAAGGGGTTTCTTTACTATGCTCCTTAGAAAGTATGCAGTAGGAGATTTTCTTCCTTGCACACATTAAAGGTTTGCAGGGAAAAAAAAGTAATGCATAATTTAAGAGGAAGGTTTTAGCTCCTGTCTCAGTCTCTCTGTACCAAACAAAACGCATTGCATCAGTACAGAGAGGCCAGCCAATGCTTTTTATGAACAGCAGCATTTATAATCGAAGTGATTCTAAACTGGACATCTGACACTCTCATAAAACTTTTATAATCTCAAAGATATGCTTTTTGGAATCTTATTTGTTGTTTGTTTTAAACAGTAGGGGCTAACCTTTTTAGCACGCATGCTACAAATTAGCTGTATGAACTACCTGAGTGTCACTGATCCCTTTCCCCTACCTGGTCTGCTGCTCTGCTTTCTGCATCCTGCCTTATCTGCCACTTCAAAAATACCCAGAGTCTATACCAATCTGGCCATGGGACAAAACTCCTTCCTGACCCCAAATATGGTAACTAGTTTGACCATGAACAGAGAAGCAAGACCTGTTAGCCAGGAACCTCCATCTTCAAGTCCCCAGTATGCCAAAAGCCACAGATAGGGGATGCCCATTAGGGCTGTGTGAAACAGCACCGTTTCGTTTTGACAGGACAGTGTTTTGTTTTGAGTTTCATTTCATGTCAAAGCACTGTTCCGTTTCGTTTTGTCAAAACTGTTTCTCTGTATCAATGCTATTTTGATGTTTTGCCCATAGGCAATAATAGGGAATCATGAAACTGCCTATAACGTTGTCATTTTTTGGCAGATTTGGATGAAAACAGCAGAGATGGTAGCCCCTTCTGAAGCCACGAAGCCTGCCAGGTTTCAAAGAGATACATGCAGGGACTTCTGAAAAACTGCACCTCAAGCTGCTGACAAGCAAAACTCGTGATGTGTGACTTTGTGTGTGTTAAGGTGCAACCTCACTGGCGCTGGGGCCCCTACACAACATGGTAGCGTGCCCCAATGAGGCTTCCTCCTCCCCTACAGACTCAGACTGGTCCACCACTTTAAATAACAACAGGTAATAACTTAGTAAGCAGCACAGTAGCACTAGCAACATCTCAGGCAGCGAAACTGTCACAGAGCCTTTCTTTCCTCTCCTGCAGAAGCTTCTTCTCCAGCAGTTGCCAGAGAACTCTCCCTGCCAGCCCCAGCCCTGGGGCTTATATGTGCCCCGGGCCCTGCGTCCTTCTGGTCAGCTGACTGGGGACAGGTGCTAGGGATGTTGGGCTAAGGACATGGCACTGGCAGACAAGGTTCTTTGGCTCAATCTGGTATCTTTTAGTAGACCAAATGAACAGTTAGAGAAATATATCTTAGCAAGGTTTTGGATTGGAAAACCCTTTGTCAGGCTGAGGAAGCACCTGCAGTTTGTGTGTGTGCTGCTCCTGAATGGAAGGAATAGTAAAGAAGCCAGAGGCTCGCATGCACTGCAGGCAAGAAAGTCAGTCAGTAAAAATGGAAATGGAGGCATCAAGGGGTGAGGGACAGGCTGGGGTGGGGAGGAAGGGGGGTGTAGCAGCACAGGGAATAGTGGAGAGGTACCTGGGGAGTCAGATGTCCGGCAGGTTGTAGTGTGTCAGAATTCCAATGTCTATATTGAGTCCGTGAGTTTCTGTACCTAGGATGTTGATGACGTGCAGTTTAGAGGCTCGTCTGTGAAAAGTGGTTTGTAAATTCAAACAAGCACTGAACCTTGCTAACCTCACCACCAGAAGCCAACTACCTACAGCCCAAAACACACCGAATGGATCAAGGCTATGCTATGACAAGACATGCAAAACTTGCCAACAATATTTCCAGTGTGGAGATATTTTCATAATACAATACATATCTCTATCAGGGCACTTGGTGCCCTAATGGAAATTACATGGAGACACCAAGGAACAACTGGGCATCAGAATGAGCACACACCAAACATCTACCAAAGACAAGGACAGAATGCCACCTGTCTCCAATCTCGCAGGCCTGATCCTCAAAAGGGAATTTACAAACCACTTTTCACAGATGAGCCTATGAACTGCACTTGTGTGCCACACAGTGGACGCCAATGAAGTTGGCATCACAGACCGCCTTGACCATATTGGCCCCATTGTTGGTGACCATGAACCAGTGGGTGAGCTCGCCCTGCCCAATGAGCCACTCCTGCACCAAGTGATTCATGGCCCTCATGATCTCTGTTGCTGTGTGGGACTCATCCATCACCTCATCTTGAAGGAAAGCCCACCGACAGCCTGACTGGTTGCACCAGTGCCCTGTGATCTCCACCCCGGCTGCTCCAGATGTCCGAGGTGAAGTGTGAGGCCACCTGCGGACCTGCCTTGTGCAGCTCCTTCGTCACACATGTACCTGCACCCCAGAAGCGAGCGGGTAGTGTGGTCTGGGATCATTTTGAGCTGGCAGATGATCCCGCATATGCTATCTGCCTGCACTGCCAAGCCAAAACCAGCCGGAGCAAGGGAACAAAAAACAAACGACTACCACGGGGATGCCGATGCATCTTCGCAGGCACCACCCCTTTTCTCTTTCTCTTCCACAGCCTGGCACCAACAGGATCATGCCCAAAGGGAAGTCTCCCTCTTGCTCCAAAGCCCCTGTGTCCCCAAAGCAGAGGCAGGCCACCCTGGAACAGTGGGGGAAAGGTGAACAGAAAGGGGGGCATGTTCCCAAGGCGAGCGAAGTCACCTTGATCACTGGGGAGATGCTTGCTGTCAATGGACAGCCCTTCTCCTTAGTTGAGTGGCCAGGGTTCAGGCGGCTCATGGTGCTCATGATCCCATCATACCAAGTGCCCGCATGCACCACCTGAATCCTGGCTTTAGGGGAACTTGTGGGGTATGGAGCACAAACTCAGATGATTCCCTGTCCTTTCCCAGAATTTCCCTTGCTAGGGCACTCAGATCCAGATCTAGATCCAGCTCTTCCTCTGGCACTGGAAGGCTCAGCATGGGAAGTGAAATGGGGGCGGAAGAGACTGTCATGCTGGTGCTGGTGCTTGTTGTCATGGTGGTAGTAGGGTGGGGGAGGTTATGGCTGGTGCTCTTGGAAGGGATGCAGACTCAGGCACAGGCAGTGGCACTGGCACTGCTCCCCTCTCCTTGATGCCTGTAGAACTAGTGGAAGCCTCATGCATGGTTGTTGTAGCAAAGAGGCTGCATCTCAGTTGGGGGGGGAAACGGGGACTTACAGCTCTCCCTGTACCCCCTTTTCTGCTGCTCCCTGAAGGCTTGCCAGCTGCCTTTCCAGCATGCTTAATGGTGTGTTTCATAGCATCTTGTCTTTGCCTTGGTTTGCTGGAAAATCTGTGTCTTCTTCTGTAATGTTATCTGATTTATGTAATATATATAGATAAGATAATTGTATATATGTGTATTTATGTAATCTATGTATGTAGTTATGTAATAAATAAAATAAAAATATATAAATGTATGTATGTGTTCCTATATACATTCTATATTATAATATGCAATATTATAGTATATAATTATGGATAATAATAATATAGAATTATGCTGTGCTTCTCTGCACGGTGAATGGGCAGGGCTGTACAATAGATGACCGTCTTGGTTAATCAGCACTAGGGGTGGGGCCAGCAGTAGGCGTGGTGGGGCCCACAAAAATGGCGGTCAGCTCCATGATCTGCCTGCAAAATTGGCTGTCTGCCTCCTTGATTTGGGTAGGTCCCTAATAGTGAGCCATGAAGTCAATCGAGCTCCTTAGCACTGCCTGATTAGAAATGCAGCTGCCCCTGTCAAGCAGCTGGTTTTAAATTTTGAGTGGACCAGGAATCAAAGGAAGGTGCAAGTGCATTAGTGCACCCTTCTCCCCCTCAGATTTTCCCCTGCACACAACACTTTCTCTTTTGCTTTCTCTTTGTTACGTTTACACTGAGGCAAAATCATGATCAAATCATCCTCCATTCTCCATCCTCCATAGCACATTCAGTTTTGTGCTAAACAGAAGGGAGATTTAGCAGATTTAAACCAAGGAAAAGGTTAACACACACTGAAAAAAGGAGCTTATTGATGGATTGTAAAATCCAAATGTGGAAAGTGAAATGTACATTAGAATGGTCAATGCAGTAACCAGCTTCCAAGGTTTTCTTTAAATTGATAGCGCTGGAACTGCTTCTGTGTAGATAGTCACAAACTATACTGTAATTCTGCACACTTATATGACAGGACTAAGTACACATCAACTAGAACATATGCTTGGGTGATCTTGGATGAATTACAGCAGCAGACTTGCCACAGTAATTGTTCTGTGTTTAGCAGGAGGAGGCATTTGAGTTAAATATTTCTAAGACCTTCAATATTTAAAATAATGGATTTGGGTCACTTTGGGTAAAGGCTGAAAAAAAGCTGTCTATAGGCTAGATATTCAGCAGGAGTAAATCTGTGTATCTCTACTGACCTTAGAGGAGCAACACCAAAATGCACCAGTAAAAAAATCTGGCTCTAGAGATTTCTGAATGAATGGTGCTTACAGGTACTCTGAAATCAATATAAATCAATTTAAAGAAATGAAAAGCATAATTTTAATGGGTTATCCATTTCTGAGCTGAGTTTAATATAGCTTAAGTGTCTGCCTTTTGAAACATGTACATTTAAATTAACACAATGGAATAACACTAATATTGCTAAGCTTGCAACAGTTCTCTTAGCAAAGTAGGACTTGATTCTGTAGTCATTTCTTAGGCGATCTTTCTGCTGACTTCAGTGAGTTTAAGAACAGGAGAACTGGGGTTTGGAATGTTTATCAGGCAGCAAAAAAATGGTTTCTTAACACACTTTCAAATTAGTTTCAATAAAATCGAAAGCATCAACATAATACCATGTTGTACAGTAGACAGTCAAGCCCTGATTCATATATGCAAGTATCTAAACAAGTGATAGAAGTCCTTCTGTCTAAAGCTAACCATTTGCCTAAGTGTCTTGTTAGATTAATTGTTTTAGTGAGTAATTTAAACTCACCTTTGGCTTGGGGGAATCCTTTGTAGTAGTCATCTCTTCCTGAGGAACATGGACATCTTCTTTTGCTGGTTCCTAGAAAGCGAGTCAAAAGCATGTAATCATATTATGCTGCAGGTCGTAAATATCAGGGTAGTAAAGGACAACAGCTATAATACACTTGTGCAAGTCAGTTTTCTTGTGCTAAATTTATAAATATTCATAATAAGCATAAATGATAGCTAATTTTCATATGGAGAAAGACAATCCAGTTGAATAATTTCAGCATACATAAACATATTATTTGTGTCATCTACAAACACCATTCAGAAGGCAAGCACATTTAAATTACTACGCTTGAGTGCTTAAAGTATTTAAAGAATAAACTTTCTCATGGAAAGTTGTTAGCTGATCCAACTGCATTTAACCTAAAAGAAAAATCCAGTTTCTAAAACTTGGACCAGGAATGTACTTACTTGTAAATGTTCTTTTCTGAAGATATACATTGTGACAGATCATTATTCTTGGGTATGTGTTTTTTGCACACAACCAATATAGACTCATGCCAACCCTGAAGTGGAATATAGGCAGATGTTCCAGTCTCCAAACACCAGTTTATTTCTAAGTTCTACCAGATGCTGCTGCCACAGTTTCTGGCGGAGTCGGGTACAGGGGAGTCCCAGAGCTGCTCCTGCCCCACTCCAGCTGCAGCTGCGTGGGGTGTCAGGCTCAGCAGGGGATAGCAGCAATGGAGGACATGTTTCCATTTCCTGCACCTGCTCCCGGCTGCCCCCACCCCTCCAAGTCCCCTGCTAGATAGGAGCAAATGCTGGAAGGGGGAACCTGCTTGCTGCCATCTCTGTCTCCAGCTTTTGCAGGCATGAGAGAAACCCTGGAGCCACTCCTGCTCCACTCCAGCTGGGGGGCCATGTTGCACAAGGAGTTGACTTGGGCAGGGACAGCATCCTAGCACATACTTCCGAGCAGCAAGGAACACCTGTGGGGGAGCGGCAGACAGGGAACAGGTGCCAAAAAGGGGAATCTGCACACCACTGCCATTGTCCCCAGGTGACCCTGGCACCCTGAGTGGCTGGTCCCCACAGCCCCTGGCTGCAGTGAGCTAGCAGCAGATCTGGGGCTCCCACCACCCCCAGGTCAGCGGGGGACAATGGTAACAGCAGTAGCAGTGGGTGAGTTCTCCGTAAGCTTTGTATGTCTGTTGCCTGCCCTGCTCCGCCAGTGTCCCTTGCCAGCCCACCTTGCTCCCATCCCCCACAGTCTGAAGAGTAGTGTCCAATTATTAATTTAACAAATTTATTAATAAATTAATGTAATTAAATAAACAATAAAATATTATTTGCTTTGGAAAGTTTCTCCTGGTTGCTGATGAGGTGATTGCTTTCTAAATGTATTTATTTTTAAAAAGTAGATATATGAATACTAAATAATCTATACAATTATACTGATGTCTACAAAATGGGTTTTCAAAAGTGTCATGATTTTGGAAATTAATTTTGATCCAGTCCTTGCTGGGTTTTGATTTTGCAATCAAAACCTGTAGGACAAAGCATTGCCTATCCAAATTCAACCTAATTTTTTCAGTTTCTAATGCATCTAGGCTGGTAAAATTATAACTGTAAGCCTGAACATCTACATGTACAATCCTGTATATATGCGCTTTAGGGTATGTTAGATACAAATAAGTATTCTGTTGTGTCATTCTACCAGACAAGCTAGGACCTTTTAGTTCCCATTTACAAAGATAAAGTGTAGAGTGGCTCTGAGTGAGTAGAGAATTAAGCTAGGAAAGCTGGTAGGGGGAACCCTAGAAATTGCCATTAAGAAGGGAACTCAGATTAAGGTTTGTGGCAGCCTAGTAGGGGGTGCTCCTGTGCTGAGCCACCCAACTCACTGCACCTACCGAGCTCTGTGTGTCTCCCTGGGGGTGCCTTATGTCTGGCTGACCCTCTTCCTGGAGCTCATCCACAATCCTGGGAGTAACGCTGCCACCACTCGAGAGTCTCAGTTTGTTAGTGGCTCTGTGCTTCTTGAGGTACGCAGGCTTTATAGATCGGAAGGGTACTCAACCCACTGCAAGAACTTGGGGTGCTTCCCTTAGTCTGAAGCACAAATAGTGGTCTCCCTTAGTCAGCCGGACCAAGGGGACCCCAAGGCATAATCTAGACCGTCTCCTAATAAGTCTCCCATGCTAGGTACAGTGGAGAGTTTTCTTGATTACAAGGAGTAGGCTTGGAATAGGGTACAGCAAAATCGGAGAAATACCTTAGAGCAAACTGTGTGGCTGGGTAGACTTTGATCATACATCTGAGTTACTGCAAGATATATACAGGCAGTCCTTGGACTTAACGACACAATTGGTTCCTGAAAACTGCATCTTAAATTGAAATGTTGTAATTCAGAACCAGTTTTCTCATAAGAAACAATGTTATAAATGGGGGATTGATTCCTGAACCAAAGCCTGATACCCTATTTTCACCACAAATACCTCAGAATTTTGTACTCAATCAATTACAAATGAGTAATATAGCTACATTAATGTATTTATATCATAAATAGCAATCATATTGATTTGGAAGGACTTCTTTGAGGTGACTTTACTGGACTTTTTGAAGGGCTCTTGGTTGTTTTTTTTGAAGGGTTCTTGGCTGGAGTCTTCTCAGGAGACTTGGCTCCAAGTTTTTCAGGAGCTGTGTCTGCTTTCTTAAAGAAAGTGTCCAAGCAAGTTTGGACAGATGTTCTCCAGGGAGATGAGCAACACAGCGAACTTGTTTGCTGGCATGATGTCGCATCGGATCAAACGTTGTAAGTCAAAACTGATGTGATAAAGTTGAAACACGGTGTCAATTTACAGTTGTAAGTGCGAAACATTGTAACTCAAAACATTGTAAGTCGAGGACTGCCTGCATCTAGTCAGGTTTGCAGGTTTCAAGTAGCTGTCTCACAAGCATCATCCAGAGGCTGATAGAGCTTTCCTCTGGAGGCAGGCAGTTCATAGTGTGTCCATATATTTCGAGAGACAGAGAGAGAGAGGGAGAGCTGCAGACGTTCAGCTGCTCTGGGTCTTCATCAGGGCTGCCCGCCCCCAGCAGTCTTGGCTTATATAGACCTTCTGACCTCATTTACCTGATCCAATAAAGGCCAGCAGATATTGGCTGCCAGCCAACCTTTGAAATGCATCACTGGTTACCAGGCAGAGTGACAGGGGCATTCGCCTCCCCTCCCAGCCTGATACCTGTAGCTTCTCACATCCACAGGAACAGGTTTCCCCCTCCCTCAGGAATGTATCCAGCTCAGGTTATACTCCAGGGTTACCTGAAGCACATGGGGATGGGGCTGCCTGGCCATATTGAGATGGCATTCTGCCACAAGGTTTATGCTTGTTCTTCAAGAGAACAGAGACTGAAGTCAGGAATGCAGCAGAGTTGCATATTATGGAGAAGAATCCAATTTGTGTACACATGATGTTTCAAGAATAAGGCGAGAAGTGTCCACTCAAAAAAAATTTGAGTTACTTTAATGTTCATCCTCCAGTTC